GGGGGTATTATATTTTTCATTCTATGATACTGATGTGAAGAGTCCAGGACTGAAGAAATTCGATAGGATTTCACAAAATAAGTTTCAAGTCTCTTCTACTTTTTCTTTTTATTAGATTTCTTTCACTTTTCTCTTATTCTTTTTACATATTTTCTGTATCTTCTTAAGTACTTATTAACCGTGCCGTCACTAGGCGCATGTAAGCGATCCATGTCCTTTTCTTTTGTTTCGGGCACACTGTAATTACGCGAACTGTCACAGCGGGCTACGATCACTCGCTTGGCATCTAGAGAGACTTTATTCCGTCAACACTGGTCTGGATTGCGGCGGCCACACTCCGATACCTGGAAGTCTCTGTAACATCGCTTGTCAAGCGGAGTATGAAAGAGATAAGAGCTGTCTCACGCTTCTGGAGAACAGTCGAAGACTTGTGCCATGCGCACCACTAGGGTAAAATACAGCTAGAAACATGATTCCCAGTATTCAAAGGCAAAGGTCAGAATGCGCAGTAATTTTTTCAATACATTTTAGACGTTTCTAATGTTTTTTACCTTTTCGCCTTACGAATTCTTCGTAAGATGAGAAAGTTATGTAATCATGCGCCAGAAAGCACCTCATTGTCGGGTTTTTGAAAATTTCGCCAGAAAACCTCACTGTCGGGTTCTAGTAATTAAAAAGTGGATAAATTCTGTTGCTAAATTTTGAAAAAAATCCTCTAACTTGTGGTGTAGCAAAAATCCATGTTTTGTTGGTTCTTGATACCGAAAAATTGACTGCAAAACAGTCTGTGGTCAACGCTAGCGGCTAAACCATTCAGCCGATTTTCTCTAAACTTGATGTTCACCAATCGATTTGGCTGATGTTGCAGCCCCTGGAATTTGAAACCGATATTTTAATTTTGGGGGGTACTTTGCATGAAGCCCCTCGGACATTTTCAAAATTTTCTAAAAAATGGCTCCAATTTTTTTATTAAATTATGTTGTTCAATAGTGCGAAAAACGCTTAAGGAATGAAGCAGGTCTCATGTTCGGTGAAATCCCGATTTTTTCGAACATTGCAAAAATAATTTTTAAAAGTAAAAAATTAAAGATAGAGGTTTTTGGTTGAGACAAAGACTGTTGTTCAAATTTACCTCATTAGAAAAGGTCATGAATATTAATTTTTTTCATAAACTAGTAGTTCTTGCATAATGGGGACTTGAAATTTATCAAAAAAAATTTCTCACAAATCGCCCCAACTTTTTTCTTTAAATTTTCTCCACATTTGTAATAAGTGGCGGTAAGCAATATGGCGCTTGTCCCATTTTCGGGTATTGCTTTTATTTTAATTGCAAAAACATTTCAAAACTACAAATTTTAAGATAGAGATTTTTGCGTTAGACTAAGTTTGTTGTACAAAATTAGCTATCTAAATAAATAAACTAATGGTGCTATAGAATGGTACAGACTTTCTCGCCCTAGTTAGTTTTCTATTCTTCCTACTCTTGACCAGTTTTTCCGATAGGCGTCATTCTCTTCAATGTCTCACCGTCTTGCTGTTTTCTTTCGTCGCAAAGCATCATTTTTTCACATTTTCTTAATTACTCGGTGCCGTAATGCTAAAACTGAAACCATCATACACTTATAAAAGTATCCATTGTACGTCATAACCAATTGGGGCAGCCATTTGTGAGCAACGGTAGCGGCTAAACTGTTCAGCAGATTTTCTGCAATCTGGTTGATGTCACGGCCCCTGGAATTTGAAACTCATATTTTAATTTTTGGGAGTAGTTTATACGAAGCACCTGGGATAGTTTTAAAATAATATGATTGATTTTTTGAAAACTATTTTCAGAAAAATGGCTGCATCGTTTTTTTATTTATTAATTATTATTATTATTATTATTATTATTATTATTATTATTATTATTATTATTATTATTATTGTTATTATTATTATTTTCTTTTTTTCCTCTTATAGTTAGATACGGTAAAGAATGGTGCATGTTGTATGTTCGTTGAAAACACTGATGTTTTTAAAAATTGCTAACGTTCAAAATTTTTTAAAGTCTTCCTACTACTGAATTGTTAAAGATGGAGATTTTTTCCTTAATGAAATCTATTCCTTTAAGATAATTTTAAAAAAAGGTCATGAATAGGTCAGCGAAAAATACCAGCAGGTTATTAACATTTTTGACTTAGGTTCTGTGCAAATATAACACAAATTAAATTAAAAGATTTAGTTCAATTGAATACCGAATATTTGTTAATTACTGATGTGAAAAAAGAATGAGAAATTCTGAAAAAAACTGTGTTATAGTACATAATAATTCTACGGACAAATTTGCAATTTTCTTGTATATACTACGTATTATATTTCAAAATCACAAAACTTGCTGCATCTCGCTGCAATTGCATTGCTGTCACGTGTTTGAATAAAGAAGTTTTAAAGTCGTTTAATGATTTTCTTATGATATTGTAATTTAAACAATTTATATGCTAAAAAAATACTTTTCTTTATGTTGCTTTCATTCTTATAATTATTGTAAAAATTCCCTTCATTGCCGATTACAAAAAGAAACCTGCATTTAATGCTTTATTTACTTTTTTGTCAAATTTCATTCGTAATTTTATTTCTTGAAATATTCCACTTCACTTTCGTACCAGCGACCTCGAAAACCCTCATGTATCAGAGAATTTCCCGTTAAACAACTGTATCACATTTGATCCAGCATTTTGAGGTCTGGAATCATCGTAAGTGGCCCAACACTTGTACACACTACACAATTTGTCTGGCAATATGGTGGGGGAATCGGCGGTCGTGTGGTCAGGACCAACCAACCACCCGACAAATTGGTACGTGTGTAGGGGTCTTTACCTCTACCTCCCCCCACGATTGTGTGATGACGCAATCATTCGTACCGTAAGATGTATTATGTCATCATTTGTGATGTAAAATGCCAATTATGAACGATTTCTTACAACAGAAAAGGTCGTTTATATTGTTGGTATACAAATAATGTATTTACGACTTCCGTTTCGTAAGCAATAAAGTATAATTACACTTCATATGAATAGTAAATTATATAATTAATATTATTTAATAACTTCTGTATTCAACAAATTAAACATACAAAGTTTAATTGTTTCAACATGTTTAAATAAGTAATTATTGTAATTATGAAAGGTTTTTGCGAATACATTTATTACATAACTAGTGGTGCTATAGATTGGCACAAACTTTCTCGTATTAGTTTTCTATCTTCTTTGGTCTGGGCTAACTATTCGGACTTGCCACATACTCTTGCCAGTTGCCATTTATATTTATTTATAAAGTATATTTTTTGAATTTTTTCTCAATTTTTCAGTTTTCTAATTGTAGAACTGAAATATTACATTAAGAATATTAAAGAAGAATAAAACCTCATCGTAAATGGTAAATTTCATTGAAAAATTTGAAGCCCTTCTTAAGAAATGGCGTTAAAGCTCTAGTGTAAATGCTAAATTTCCAACTCTTTTTCACAGAAATCTTTTGAGCTATCGAAAAACTTCATTGGAAGTAATTTAAAGCACCTTCCCTCACAAATGCAATAATGTATACAAATTGCTGAAAATGTACATATTAAAGGCTTAAGAGATATTGAAAAAATACATGTGTAATTAAAAATAAATAAATAAAGAATATAGCAAAATGACTTAAACAGTGCAAATAGCGCCATCTGTACGAAAAGTTTGGAGAAAAAAATTTGGAGCCGTCGTAGAGAAAATGGTGTTTGAGCGTTTCTGGAAATGCGGAATTTTGAGCTAATTTTCACAGAAAACTGTTTTTGAGAAACTTTATTAAACATCACTTAAATCGCATGTACTCACAAATGCAATAATGTGAACAAATGGCCATTAATGTAAATATTAACGAAGCGTCTTTAATATTTACACCAGAGGCGATTTGTTCACATTATTGCATTTATGAGTACATGTGCTTTAAATGATGTCAAGTCATGACGTGGGAGACATGACAAAAAATTAATATTCGTAATTAAAAAAACAAACAAAAGAATACCGCGATATGGCGTTTATTGGCGATAATTAACTCTGAATTTTCGAAGTTTGAAAATTTTGAAAATTTTCGGGCGTCTTCCTACAACTACAAAATT